CATTAAATTACTTTTTGGAGTTATTTATTGTCATGCAAAGTAATAAAGATTGTGCCACCATGAGCAAGTATAAAAATAGAAACAAATGTTTGCAGTTCTAAGCTTTAAAAATAAGAAATAGGGTTGGCCCTGTGGCTTAGTGGTTGAGTGCGTGCGCTCTGCTGCTGGCGGCCCGCGTTCGGATCCCGGGGGTGCACCGACGCACTGCTTCTCCGGCCATGCTGAGGCCGCGTCCCACATACAGCAACTAAGAAGGATGTGCAGCTATGACATACAACTATCTACTGGGGCTTTGGGGGAAAAAATAAATAAATAAAAATTATAAAAAAATAAATAAATAAAAATAAAAATAGGAAATAAACACACACATATGTCATATATATGATATGCTTTAAAAAATAATAATATATTATTATCACTATCAATTTACAAAACAAAACTTTACCAGTCTCATAGTAGCATTATTCACAATAGCCAAAAGGTAGAAACAACCCAAATATCCATCAACAGGTGAGTGGATACACAAAGTGTGCCATATATATACCATGGAATATTATTTAGCCTAAAAAAGGAAGAAATTTCTGACACATGCTACAATATGGATGAACCTTGAAAACCTTATGCTGATGAAATAAGCCAGACACAAAAGGACAAATATGGTTTGATTCCACTCATATGAAATAGCTAGAATAGTTAAATTCACAGAGATGGAAAATAGATTGGTGGTTGCCAGGGGCTGGGTGGAGGGGGAATTGTGGGGAGTTATTTTTTTAATGGGCACAGAGTTTCTGTTTGAGATTGTTATGGACTGAATGTGTCCCCCCAAAATTAAAAATTGAAGTCCTAACCTCCAATGTGATGCTATTTGGAGGTGGAGCCTTTGGGAGGTAATTAGGTTTAGATTAGGTCATGAGAGTGAGACCCTCATAATGGGATTAGTGGCCTTTAAGAAGAGGAAAAGAGAGATCTCTCTCTCCATGCACACGCACCGAGGAAAGGCCACGTGAGCACACAGGGAGAAGGTGGCTGTCTACAAACCAAGAAGTGAGCCCTTACTAGGAATTGAATCTGCCGGCACCTTGATCTTGGACTTCCAGGCTCCAGAACTGTGAGAAATAAATGTCTATTGTTTAAGCCCCCCAGTCTATGGTATTTTGTTATCACAGCCCGAGCTGAGTAAGGGATGATGAAAAAGATCTAGGATGGTGGTGATGGTTGCACAACAATGTGAATGAACTTAATGCCAGTGAACTGTCCACTTAAAAATGGTCAAAATCATAAATCCTATGTTATATATATCTTGCCACAATTTAAAAAAAAAACAGTGCTCACTTCAGCAGTACATATAATAAAATTGGAACGACACAGAGAGGATTAGCTTGGCTCCTGAGCAAGGATGACACGCAAATTTGTGAAAGGTTCCATATTTAAAAAAAAACAAAACAGCAGCGACAACAAAACCCCCAACATTACCAGCATCTTTCTTCAAAATTCTCTGTGGCCTCATCCCACTCTCTTCCTCATAATCCCCCCAGAAGTACCTACTGTCTTAGTTTTGGATTTCTCCCTTACTGTTCCATTGCTTTTCTATATATATAACTGTTTACTTTGGCCTGTTTTTGAACTTTATATTAAACTTTACTGTGTGCCTACTTCTGCGACTTGCCTTTCAGCTCAACATTTTTTGGTCAGAGTCATCCATGTAGATGCAGGGAGCTATGGGTCATTCTTTTTCACTGCGATATAGTATTGCGACTTACAAAGTACATATCGTGGGCCCCTTCAGATCCTCTCAGCCTCCCCTTCTCAGGCTATCTTCCTTGGCCACTTGTTCCATCCTGACCATTACTTGATGACCAATTTCTGTGTGGGCTCTGACCAAGTGGCCTGCGACTGAGGCTTCTGTGTGGCTGAGGTGTGCAACACTGAGGGACCTCCCAGGTGCTCACATGTGGGTAATCCTGAGGTAGAAGGGAGTTTATACCCTGTGGGGCAGACCTTTGACCAGGAGCCAGTAGATAATTTTTCTCCCTTCTTCCTCCCCTTAGAACTGTCCTAAGATGCCATTGCAAATATGGCCTCTCCTCGGTACCCTCACATTGACTAAACCTCTGTCCCTGGCTCACTCCCCCTTTTCCTCACTCTTGCTTCCCTGGGACTGTACTCACAATAAATCAGTACTGCACAAATTTTTGATTGAGACTCTGCTTTCTGAGGAAGCCAAGAAAGACATATTCTGCAATTTGTCTGCTCTGCTGTTAATGAAGATTTGAGTTGTGTCAAGTTTTCGAAGACTGCAGAGACTATGGCTAGGGCTAACATCCTTGTTCATGCTTCCTGGTGCACTTGTGTCTGTTTCTCTAGAATGTTCCTAGCAGTGGAACTGCTGGATCATAAGTTACATACACCTTCAGCTTTACCAAATATTGCCCAATTAGTTCTCAAAGTGCCTGCTTATCTTTCAAGTTTATTTCACCTCTACCCGCCCCTTGAGCTCCCTACATTCGGATTATAGGGGCCTTCTTTCAGTTCCCTTAGCACACGTGCTCCCCCATCCCAAGGCCTTTGCAGCTGCAATTTTTTCTGCTGAGAACACTTCCCCCAAACCCAGCCTGGCTAAGACCTCCTCTTTCCTCAGAGCTCAGCTCTATGCCTCACTCCCCTGGAACAGCTCCCTGACTTACTCCTCAACCCCAGACCAGGTCAACCCCTCCACGCCTGCCCATAGCAGAGATCTCAGAGCCCCATTTACCTCTCCGTGGTGATACACTTATCAGTTGCAATGTTCCATCTCTCTGTGCAACTACTGGTACAAAGTCTGTCAACTGCGCCAAGTTTCACTAGGCTGAAAGCAGTAACTGCCCTGTTTGTTTAAGCTTACCGCCATATCTCCAGCCCCCAACATCTGTGCCTGGCACATAGTAGGTAATTGATTTTACCATTCTAATAGCTGTTCTATGTTCTCACTCATATTCAAGTACAGCATGTAAATTTTCCAGCATGTTTTAACATTAATTAGCATCTACTGGTGGCAAGATCATGACAATGTAAACACGATCCCTTTCCTTGAGAAACTCACTGAAAAAGGTCAATAAATATTAATTGAACTCACTGGACCTTGACATATTTTAAGCGCTTAGCAACTGTTTGACTCAGAAGTCACCTCTAGTCTGAGTATTACTATTACTATAATGAGTAATGATAGTCATTGCTTACTGAGCCCTTACTATGTACTAGGCACTCTACTAAGTGCTTTACCTTTACCATCTCCTCCTATCCTCACACTGTCCCAGGGAGGTACTATTATTACCTCCATTTTACAGCAGCAGCAGAAAGGTGAAGTCACTTGCTCCAGGTTGCACAGCTTGTAAATGGTGCAGACAGGATTTCTCAGCCAGAGCTCCTAACCTCATATCCTGATGCTAAATTTCCCCTGCCCCAGTTACACTGCTTTCAATTAGATTCCAGAGATTGAGTTCTTAATCACAATGGTAAATCAATGATATTTACCATTATTTGGCACTTATCAAATACTAATCACTATACATTCATCCATTAATTTATTCAACAAATATGTACTGAGAACCTACCATGTGCCAAACTCTGTTGAGGGACTAGGGGTACAGAGGTGGACAAAACAGAATAAAATCCCTGCTTTGAGGATCTGACATCCTTGTGGGAGGAGAAAAAAATAAACAAAACAAATAAGTAAAATATATAATATGATAGATGGTGATCAGTGAAAATGAAAGCAGAAAAGGGAAATATGGAGAGTGATGACTGGGGTTTCCGTGATCTCATTTCATCCTGCCAACAATCTGTCTTTTTTTCCCTTGGTACAAATAATAATGAGATTCAGAGAGGTGAAGTCACTTCCCCACAGGCACACAGCTCATAGGCTGAGAAGTCAGGACTCTGGAAGGACTGAGGACCCCATCCTGCCAATCACTCTTTGCTGTGTGCCTAGCCTACGGAGTGCCTAGAGTTGTGGTGAAGACAAAAGGCGCATCAAACTTCTTTCCAAGAGCTTAACATCTGGCAGGGAGGTAAGTTGACCCAGATGAGCAGAGGACTCACAAAGCTGTACTGATGTGTTAGTGTAGTGCCCAGGGCAGACATTACGCGTGATCGCCTGTGGGAGATGCGGATGCTGAGGCTGGAGTCAAGGCTCAGGCTGACGAATCGATTGCAGAGATCAGGAGCAGGCCGCCTAGGTCGTTCTGGGACCGTTGGTCACTCCGAGGCCCACCAGTCCCTGCCCTGCCCCCACAGCCCGCGCTGCACCCCGCCCCCTTCCACCCTTTGGGTCTCCAGCCTCCAGGCATCAAATAGGGAGACTGAAAGAGGCTGGCGATGGAGCCCCGACCCTGCCTTGGGGAAGCCCCACTCACTTGCAAATAGTGGCCTCCGGTTCCCCCGACTCCGCATCACTAGCTTGAGGGGGCCTCCCAGACAGGGGGGGTCTGGGGCGATGACGCGGAGTGCACCTTTGCAGGCCTCTGCCGAGGGCGATGACAGCTGGTCCCCTGCTCCCAGGTGGCCTCAGAAACCGCAGACGCAGTCTACTCCACCTCCAGAGCCCGGGCTTTGGAGCTAGGAACGTGTAGAGCACCACCTCCCCCAGGCACACCACCTGTCTGTTGCACTTATCAGGGCTTCTTAGAACCTTTGCATCTTCTTCAAAGAGGTACATTTTAAAGTTTGTTTTTCAGGCTGATAATAGACATATTTTGGTGCTTGAGGAATTCATTCAACATTTGTTGAGCATATTTTACAGAGCCAGGCCCTAGGGGCTGAGGATAAGCAGTGAACAAGCCCAAGGTCAGTCTTTCCAGGGACTTTTCCTTTTAATGAGAGAGACAGACATTAGACTATTAACACGTGAGTATTTTACTATAATTCTGAGAAGTGTTCTGAATGAGAAAGGGTTTTGTGCTAGGTTTGGACAAACTCACCTGCTCTCAAGAGGTGGTCTTGGAGATTTCTCTCTTGAGGCTGGGAATAAGAACCATCTTCCTCATTTCAGAATATCCTAGCCTCCCCAGGGCAAAAGGCCTGTCCTCTGCCGTGAATAGTTGCTGCGGAGTGAAGAGGAGGGTTTCCTATAAAGGCCACTCTATGTGTGAATCTAGGAGGCACTCAACAAATAACTGGTGAATTAATGAATATCATTCCAAGGAGGGTTAAAAAGCCACTGACTCCATCTGCAAAGGGTGTTATAATACGGCTAGCCAGGAAAAGAGAAAATCTCAGCACTGTTATTCCTAGATTTCTGGAAGGGTGATGAATTTGGGGACTAGGGGAGGCACAGTTGGGGCGCTGGCCTTCCATTCTACACATAACTCTTAGAGCAGGTGCCGCCCTGTGCTAGGTAGGATACACATCAGTGAATGAGACAGCAGGGTCCCTGCCCTCCCAAGGCTCACAGTCTGGTGAGAGCAGAGGCAACAATGAGAGAATGTGATCAGCATTATGAGGGGGGCAGGAAAGAGAAGATATTTAAGTGATTCCAGGAGGATAAGTAAGAGTTATGGAGAGGAGCGGGGCTGGCGCTGAGGGTGCTCTGGGTGAAGGGATCAGCATATGCAAAGGCCTGGAGGAGAGAAAGCAGGTTTATTCAAAGAACTCAAAACAGTTCAGCGCGTTCAGGCTTTGAAGGAGACTGGTTGGGGAGAGAAAGGATGTTAGAGAGAAAAGCAGGGCTGTTCCACCCATCTCAGGCAGCCTTCCCCTTCAGTCTTCCCTTGGCGGAAAACTAAATTTCCCCAGTCCACAGCTAGTTAGGGTTACGAAATCCAGGAGGTCAACTTTGTTTTAATGAAGACACACCATTTACCGACCACCCTGTTATAGAACATTGGCTCAGTCAATCCTCGTATAACTCTTAGACGTTTGATATTATGACCCCCATTTTACAGATGGGATAACTGAGGCTCAGTTTGGGCACCTTGTCCAATGTCACGTAGCTCACTGTATTTGGGGATTTAGAATGTTCCTTTATGTAAATGCTTCTGTTCTAGCCGTTTCTTTCACATGAGGTAATGCATGTAAAAGCTTTTTTGTATTAGAGCCATGTAAACATAAGGCATGATTATTCGTTTTGCTGGACTTTTGGCTCCATCCAGTCTAGCCTGCAGCATTCAGGGAGCCCAGGAAGGGGCAATAGGGAAAGCCAAAAGGCCCAATGGCCTCTCTTAAAATTCTCCCGTGTCTATTCTGGTTCTCTCTCTGGGGCACCTCCAGATATTATCTTCTGCCAAATAGTTTGCCTCTCAGAAGTTGCAAGATGTGGGAGGTTCAAAAAAAATCATCAGCATCAACAGCTACAAAACCCCTGCAGCAGCCTGAACACAAAGAGTCTGAATTTTGAACAAAGGGCAGGGTGAGACCCGAAAGTAAATGCTGACACATCCTCTCTCCAGCTGTGAACTGGGGGTCTGAGGGCTGCTGCAAAGGTCATCTGTGTCTACATCTTTGGGCAGGAAATGCAATTCAATCCTCCCGGTGACTGATGGCTCTGCAAGATTAATGGAATAGTCTCCAACACTGGTCTCTGTTCTGACAGCAAAAAAAGTGAAGCCAACTTCTCTCCTCCCCTCTCCTCTTACCAAGGTCAGCTGATTCCCCATTTTAAAAGTTCAAAACTTTTCTCCAAGAAATTTGTCCCCTGGTGTTCCTTTGAGGGGCGAAACTCTGCCTTCTGGGCTGAGATCCAAAGGTGGCACTTGAAGGTCTGGGGACCTTTCTAGGCTCTTCGTCTATCCCTACTTCATCTTTCAAAATAACATTAATATAAGGGCATGATCATCCCTGAAAGGGTTAACTGCCAGCCCTGCTGTCTGGCCCTCGGGGCTTGGCAACCAATGAGAATGTAGCATGATGAAGTAATGCTTGGTTTTTGGTTTCCACTGGCTCACACGCTTGTCGATCAATCCAAAGATGCAAGTTTTGAAAGTATCTTTGAACTTTTATGACTCTCTTCCTGGCGTTAACCCCTTAATTAACTCACCTGTTATTTCCAAGTTTCCTTCCAATCCTCGCACGGGAAGAGGATATTAGAAAATGCAGAACTCTAGACATAAATTGAAGTCTTCCCCACATGACCGAAGCCTGTGTCAGGCTGTATGTAATTCTGCTCTTTCTTGCCCCAGTACTTCAATCTGCAAGGGACTGAGGAGGGGAAAAAAAAAGGAAGGTCTTCGGAAGCTCGAACCACTTTAACAAAAAGAGTGTGGTCTCTTGTCCTCCAAAGTATTTTTTTAATTGCAAAAATAATACAAAATATGGCAAAACTCTAGGGTTTGGCAAAGCTAGACACTGGATATACAAGTCCTTGCTATATTTATTTGTCATGTTTATTTTCTATGCCTTTATGTTTGAAATATTTGGTAAATTATAAAGGGCACAATGGTTGTTAAAAATGCAAATAATATGCAAATACAGTCTCTATATATAACCCCCTCAAAATTTTCTCCCCTCCTCAGAAGTGATCAGACAATAGTTTGCTGCTCCATGCAAGCTTTTTTGGGGCATATCTATACAACATAGTATAGATAGTTTAAACATATATAGTTTAATATAAATGAGATCATAACATACACATTATTCTGTGACCTTTTGTGTTTCTCAAGCAATCTTGAACTTTTCCTGTCTCACAACATTCAGATTTACCTCATCCTTAAATACTATTTTAGAATGAGGCAATTCTACAGAAAGTATATGGAAAGATCTCCAAGTTCATATTAAGTGAAAAAAGAAGGGATAGAACAGTGTGTATATTTGTGTGACACAATAAAAGAAAACATACGTCGATGTTTGCAAATGCATAACTGTGTCTGGGAGGATATCCAAGAGACTTGCTGACAAGTTTTCTAGGGATGGGAGTGTGGAAGAGAGAAACTGGGTGGGTGGGAATGGGGGAGAAAGACTTAAAGCGATTTTAAAACAATTTTAAAATTGTGGAATATTTCATCAATATGATAGAATTTATTAAATATTTAAGTACACTTTAAAGAATTGCACTCAGGTGCCCACCATCTAGATCCAGAAACAGAAAATTACCTGTACCTCTCGCTGTGCACCTTCCCTGCCCCAGAGCTGTCTTTTCTTGTATTTTGTGTTAATCACTCTTGTTTTTATTTACCACTTATGTATCTATACCTAAACAATATTTATTTGATTTAGATTTGCCTGATTTTGAACCTTAAAAGCTCAAAAAAGATGACTCAAATGAAATTCATGTTTGAGTGGGTAACATGTACATAGTACAGAATTTAAAAGGCACCACAGCATACAAAATAAAATTAAGTTTATAAGGTCCCAAATCAGGCAACACGAATGCACACATGTGGTAAGAATTTCACCCCGTCCCAAAGAATAGGTTTTCTTCTCTTATCTCCATTTTTCTTTTTTTTTTTTGTATTTCTTTCCAAAGAAAGAAAATTCTGTGTATATAGAAGAATATAGTAGACATAGATATATCCCCTTTGGTTTACATAAGTGGACATCATTCCACACCAGTATATATAGAGCTATCTTATTCTTTTTAGTGATTTGATAACAGCATTTCATTGGGCAGACAAATTGTCCAAGAATTATTTAATCAGTTTCCCAAGTTTTAGATTGATTTTCAATCTTTCTCTATTGCAAATTGAGCTACAATGGATTGCATCTTTGTGTTTGAGTTGATCAGTAGGATGGATATATGTCAGGAAATGGTTATCCATTTCTAAGACTTTCTGCTCTATCACCAATGATCTGTCCTTGAGAAGTTTATTTGTCAGATATGGGCAGGTGGGAGAATCTATACCCAACGGGCATCCCCAGGTGCCTACAGTGCTGTGCTCTTGGCAGGTACTCAGAGTGTGCGGTTTAAGGGCTAACAGTTCAGATGTTCGCATGTACCAGATAGCCCCTTCTAGGAAACCTTTGCAGATATCCCTGGCCCTCTTCCCCCACCTCATCATTCCAATACTCTATTTTCTCTGGGACCCTTCCTTCATTCCACAAATGTTTCCAGAAGGTTGATTATGGGGACTCAGTGCCAAATCAGACCGTGAGGTATGTATAGCCTGGCAGGTGAGTTAAGACAAATTCTGGAAAACAATCTAAGGTTGTGCTGTCCAATAAGAGACACATTAGCTACACATAGCTATTTAAATTTTATTAAAATTAAATATAATTTAACATTCAGTTCCTTAATCCCACTACCCACATTTCAGTTGCTCAATAGGCACATGTGTGTAGGGGCTACTACTGTACTGGAGAGTGAAGACATAGAACATTTCCATCACGTTCTATGGGACAGCCCTGCAGGTAGGCATAGTGGTCAAGCCTGCAGGCTCTAGATTCCTACAAGCCCTGGGTTCAAATCCTGTCTTTGTCATTTCACAGCTGTAAAATTTGGGCAAGTAACTTGACCTCTCTTTGAGCCTCAGCTATGAAAGTGGGGAATTACAGACCCTCTCGCATAGTACTTTGACGAGGATTCAGAGAGATAGCAAATGTGAGTGGCTTTGCTCAAAGACATGGTAAGGTCTCAAAAATGAGGAGCTATTATAATTATATGTGAATCACACAACAGCTTCAGTTTCTAACAGTTCGAAAAGGATTCTGGATTCTGAGGGTTCCTTCCAGAATCAGCCCTTCCTAACTCCCTTGGGAAGCCGTCTGTCCGCTCCCTGCCCAGCCTGGAGTACGTATACAGTCGGAGCTGGTTCTTGTATCCTCTAGGTCTTAGAGCACAGAGCTGCTCAGTCAACCTTTGATGAATTAAGAAATGAATGAATGGGGCCAACACAGCCAGGATTTGACTGGGCCCTTTGTAAGAATGAGGAGGAGGGTCCAGGAAGTCATTATTATTATACTTCAAATACAACTGGCCTGGTCTTTTTTTCCTGCAAGAAAAAATACCTGTCTTGGAGAAGCACCTTAAGCTTCCCTCCTCTCTCTCATCTACCGTCCACTCCTCTGGGACAATTAGCCACCACTGGGAGCTCAAGGGTCTTGGCCCTTCCCCCTTTGGCCCAAAATAACCTCCACCCCCACTTTGAGCAAATGCCTGAAATTCTTTCAACAGGAGGACAAAGCCTTTCATCTGCCAATTACTGATAAAGGGAAAATGCAAATATCGCTGAGGAAGGTGATCCATCAAGGGCCCAACATTTATTGAGTGACCACTTAGGACCAGGCGGCAGGGTAGGCATTCTGGGGGAGTCAAGGGGGAATAAACCCCTGGCTGGCCCATTCTTCTCTCTGGTCTGTGGTTTCCTCACGGTTTGTAAAGGGAGGGATTAAATTAGGTGACTACTCAACCCCTTCCCACTCTGACAGGCCAGGAACTCCCCATCGGGGTGATATATGGACTTAACTGTTTTTACACTAAGGTGCCTGCCATCGGATTTTTTCCTGACACCAGGTTTTGGGGACACCATGAGGCCACATGGGGAAAAAGAAGGGTCTCTGGGAGGAAAGGAGAATTAAGACCAAGCGTGCTATTTCACAGTTTTGCTTTATTCCACTTGACTCATTTTTCAAGATGCTCCAGCCCACAGGCCCTCCTTTGAACATGTTCATTTCAATATGTGGGAGCAGTGAAGATGGTCAATATCCAAAAAGCATGTGATGCCAGAAGCAGGCTCCAGTTTGAGCCCTAGCAACCCCACTTACAAGCTGTGTGATCTTGAGTGAGTGGCTTTGCCTTTCTGAGTCCCAGTTTCCTCATTTGCAAAATGAGTAATAACAAGACTATTTCCCTTAAAGGGTTCTTGTGAGAAAGAGAGAAGCAAGTAAAATGGTCCCTGGCTCTTGACAGAGGCTGAAGGCAAAACCATTCTCACTTCCACTGAGCCAATGCGGGCAATTTCAGTTTGGAAACAAAATTTTGATGTTTGCCTGCCTCATCCCTAGTTAAAAATTTTTCACAGCTAGTGGACTTGGATTAAAACAAACTTCAAAGAGTAGTCGTTGTGGGGGTGGTGCTGGAAAAGAATACAGAAAGACAGGACAGGAAACTTGAAGGTAAGTTAGGGGGAAGCTGTCTCTTAGGGTGACCAATATGGAGCTGATGTTTCACATCCGATCTCTGATGGGGAAGCCACTTCCTCCCCACATATCTGATCGCTGTGTTGATATGGGGACTATATGAGGGCAGAGCAATCATCCAGATTCATAACTTCTCCGGGCCTCAGTTTCCCCATCTGCAAAATGACCTGCTCCAACTATCCCACAGAGTTAATGGCAGAAATAAAATTACAAGTATAGGAATTATTTTGGCAAAGTCTACTTTGAGCATCTACCATTATCCTTTATATAGCCCCGCTGCCATGTCATCTCATCATGATCTTAACCCCCAAGATCAGGCCTACTTGGGCTGGAGGCATGTTTAAGGCCAGCTTTTCTCACAACCAAAGTCGACTTGGCTGTTGTTCAGGATGGTATTACAGGACAAGCCGTTTAGGATTCCAGTTTTGGGGTGGTCACAGAGAGCTAGATATGTGGACATGGAAGCACACCCAGATCTAATGATACTTCATATATGTATAGAAGGTGCCGATACCTGCGCCAGGAAGCTCTATAGGATTAACCAAGGGCGCCCAAAGTTCCCCATGCCCCATCCCAGAGCGCCTTGCACCTTTCCACCGACGTTTCTCCTATAAACGGCCAATAGGGGCTTACCCTTCGCCTGTTTGCCAGCTGCGTTAGGAGGCGCCAGATCCGATTCTCTCGGTATTTCACTCCTGAGCATCTATTTCCTCCTCTTGGCGAGCGCAAGGACCTTTAAAAAATGTCCAATTTCTGTTCCAGGGCTCGTCGCCTAGTAAAGGACTCCACAGACGCGGGCAGAATGAATGAATGAAAGGCAACGTCTTCCGGTCAGCTTGGGTCTGAAAAGGCTCTGGTCTGGCTATATTTCCTGTACCTGTGTGTGTGTTGTGTGGGTCCATATCTTTGAGTCCCGGAGTTTAAAAGCCATGCAGTCCGTACAGGTATGGAGCTGCGCTAATTTCTTCCTGAATCCCCAAATGCCTTCTCCAATGGCAGGTTCGCATATGGGGGTCTGGAGAGGATCGCCCCCAGACCCCCCCAAAAGACATGCAGTAGAAAAGCAAAAAAAAAAGGAATTATATATACAAAATGTTTTGCATTTGGGTCGGCCACGTAGGTAATGGGGTGGGGTGGATGAAGGAAGAGGAAGCCGGGTAGCCCGTGGGGGCCTGGGGCAAATGGGGGCAGGGATTAAGGTGGGGGGTCGTTTTTGGGGGTGCCAGGCCCCGGGGGCTTTCACGCCAGCAAGCTCGGCTTGCATTTCCGCGCCTCCCGCTGAGGCCAGCCGTGCAAATCTGCACCTCCCTCCCCAACCCCTCCTCCTTCCCTCCCTCCCTGCCCCGCCATCTCCGGGATGCGCCCGCCGCCTGCAACTCAGCCCTCCAAAAGTCAGCTCTGCACACAACTCTCGGGCGGCGGCGGCGCCTGCGTGCAGAGGCGCACTCGTGACCCAACAACAAAACAGCGATGCCAGGGCGCTAACGGCGCCCGGTGCCTCCCGGGCGCCCTCCCCGCCCCACACCTCTTCGGGCCGCCGCCCCCGCCCCCCCCATCCCGGGCTGAGTGCCCCCCCCCACCTAGCCGGGCCGCGGGCTCAGAGCGCGATCGGCAACAATGTTTACGTTCCGGGGATTATGACGTCGACGCCTCCCCCCCCACAACTGCTGAAAATGGTTTCCTAGGACTTTGCAAACGGATCTGCTTAAGTGTTGGTGCAAAACTTTGTAGATCTCGGCTCTGGCTTGCTTTATTTATTTATTTTTGGTTTGTTTTCTTTGGTCTTCTCTCCTTCCCCCCTCCGCCAAAATGCAGGGGGCAGGAGTGTTGACAATTAATTGGTGAACTCTCCTAAAAAAATGGAGGCAGAGAAAGACTCTGGAAGAAGATTGGTGTGTAGCTTTTTTTTTTTTTTTCCAAATCTGTATCTGGTATATGATAGATCTATTTTTTTTGTTGTTGTTTCTTGCTGCCTTTTCTTTCCTTCTCTGTATCTTGCAAGAGGACCGGAAAAAAATATAATAAATTGCATGCAAAAGGAAGCAAGCAGCTTACTCCTCCAGTCCCTTGTGAGGCTCAGAGTCTCAGACACTTAAGTGGGGAGGTAGTAGCGGAGAAAGGCGTGGGGGGTGCTGAGCGGGCTCGGGGTTCGCCCGGAATCTGGGGGGCTGCGGGGCCGGGCGCTGGGCGGTGGAGGGAGGAGGCAGGGGATGCGGGGAGTGGTGGGGGAGTCTCCTTAGGAAGTGAGTGTGCGCGCGCGCTTGTGGGGAGATGAGGCAGCTGCTGGTGCGTTTTGGGGGTCTCCGATGGGAGCTTTGTGGCGGGCTGTCTGCCTCTCTCCCTCCAGAGCCCTGACCCCCCCACCCCTCTTCTTCTCGCACTGGCGGGCGGTCGGCGGGGGCGGCTGGGGTCTCAGCCCTTCCATTTCAGCTTTCCAGCTTCCCCGGTAGCTCGGGGGCGGCTCCAGTCTTAGAAATGCCGCCGGCCCCGGGTTCCGGCTTCCCGGCTCTGCCGCCGCCGCCGCCAGGGCTGCTGTTAGCGCCGCCGGGCGCTGCGGCGGCTCCTCTCGGGGCCTACAAACGCCCCGCCAGCCCGTGCGCGGAGCCCCCTTCGCTGGTTACATAACCAGGCTCCCGGCCGAGTGGGCAAAACTCAACACCTCTTGGGGGTGGGGGGCAAGAGAGAGCGCCCCAGATGTCCCTTGCATGGCCTCCAAAGCTGTAGGAGAGGAGTGCCCTGTATAGGGCGCAGCCGGATCCTGGGGGTGCGGGCCCCTCTCGTTATCCTGATTTTCAGCATCTTGGGCATTTGCGCAAAGTTCGTCGGGTCGCAATGGTGGGGTGCAGGGGGCGCACGGCTCCTGCACCTGTTCGAGCTGGGCCCAGGGTGAGAGGCGACCCCCAGTTCCCACAATAATGTCCCGGGCTCTCTGGTTTGGGTCCTCGCAGCGCCCGATTGACCGCCAGAGATACGACGAGAACGAGGACTTGTCGGACGTGGAGGAAATCGTCAGCGTCCGCGGCTTCAGCCTGGAGGAGAAGCTGTGCAGCCAGCTGTACCAGGGGGACTTCGTGCACGCCATGGAGGGCAAAGGTGAGGCACCCCCTCCTCGGGCCGCCCTCCGTGCCGCGGGCCGAGCGCACGTGGGGAGGGAGCTGCCGGTAGCTGGGTTCGTATTTCGCGCCCGCGTCCCCCATTCCAGGGGATCCGGTGACGAAACGAGGCCGAGCACTGGGGGGGTGGGGTGGGGTGGCGAGGGAGGAGGGCAGGCGGGAACCGGGGCCGGGCGTGGGCCTAGGCCGGGTCTGCGCCCACCACCAGCCTCAGGGTGGGCAGAGCCAGGGGGCAGGGGGACAGAGGGACCTGAGGACAGATGAGCGGATGGAGGGAGGCCGGTGCGCCGCATTCTACCCCTCCCGGAGCCGGCCCAGCTCCTTGCGCTGCATGAGGTGCCCTCGCCTAGCTGGAGAGGGGCTGGGGCGCCCCTGGGGCATTGGGGTGAGGGCTCCCCCAGGCCCGAAGCCTCCCAAACTCCGTGTCATTTTGGGCCCTGCCATTTACGAGCTGGCGCTGGGGACGCCCGGAGTCACTGAGTGACGCCTCCTCAGGCCTGGGGTCTGCTGAACCCCGTCACCTCACGGGGCTCGGCCATATTGGAGCAGGGGCTGGGTGAGCTCCCAGTTGTTGGCCGGAGCCCCCACTTAAGCCTGAGGCCTCTAGCCTGGAAGCCCTGACAGTCTGAAGTAGGCACTGAGGGTAAGGGCACTGTCCCGCTCAGGCTTAAGGCTGAGATCCCTGTCCCTTGGTAGTTTGAAGTGAAGACTTGGAGCACCCCTCTGGGAAACAATCTCTTACCAGGCCTGAGGCCTTGAGAGTACTGTCCCTCTTGTGGGCCCTGCCAGTTTAGAGCAGAAGTTGGGGAAGCCTCTTCGGTTTTGGGGTGCCACCCCAGCCTGACACCTTCGGGGTCTGAACTGCTCCCTGACCTTGGTACTAGGAAGGTGTCTGGGAGTGTTCTCCAGATGTTGGGGTGATGCTCTGGCTTGGATCTGAGGCCTCCAGAAGCCCTGGGAGGCCCCTGGTCCGCCTGTGGGGTTGGGGGTCAGGAGATGCCCCTGCCTACCTCGGCATCTCCTTATGCCCTCCTTGGCTTTGTAAGTTCATTTTTTCCCCTTCAGATATTCGAGTTTCCTTTATGTTACTCTTTTTCCATTTTGTTTATCCCCTATTCCCCTTGGAAAACCCTTCTATCCCTCTGAGCTGATAACGGGGAAGCGCCTCCCTCCCGCCTCCAGGTTCCGGTTGAGTGGTGGGGCCTGTGGAGTTAGCCCTAGAAGAGACCGTCCTGGCTTTGCATTTTTGAAGTTTCTCTTTTGTGCCCATTGCTTCCTGGGGCGCTGGCTTCCGTGCTAGGGGGTGGTTGTAGGGGGAGGGAAGAAGAAATTTCTTCTAGCCTGCCAGGTCTTAAGAGCATTGCACACCGTGGCGGACAGTCCAGGGGGCTACTGCATTTAAATTTCCTTAGCACAAATAGGATTTTAATTCCTTTCCCTTCTTTCCCATTTTTACGCGGATCCTATGAGAAAACAATATGCAAACTCTTCCTGGTCATTTGTGAGGAATTCTCTGCCCAGGATCTCAGAGCAGTTTCTCAGGCTCCTTTGAGGAAGTTGAAGCTGACCCAGGGGGTGGGCTTTGGGTGTGTGTGTATGGGGGGGTTCCAGCAAGGGAGATTCCTTAAATCTGCTGTCCAGGCTCCTTTCAAAGGAGAGGGCCCTAGGATTTTGGCAGTTAATTCAGATCTGGCCCCAAAACTTGAGGGAGGAGCTGAGAAACAGAAGGAGCCCTTAGCCTGGATTCAAAATAGAAGCTTCTTAAACTTCTCTGCCTTTAAATCCTTAGGAATCCCCATTCACTGTGAGCCCCTGGGGATCTGAGCTGCTGAGGTCAGGGCTTTCCCCAGCTCTGGTTTTGTTCTCTCCCTCTCCTCTGAGCCGAGTTGTGTTGGCCTCCCCCCTGTCAAGCTGCCCTGGTGAACTGTTTCCCCACGGCAGGGGCTTCAGTGGCCTGGGATCTCTTCTATCTCCCTTCCGACCAGCTGGGGAGGGCTTGTGCCTCTGTGGATTGCTTCAGTTACCTGAGGATTTGGGGATGTGCAGATTTATCTCAGCCTCCCTCACCTCCATATTTAGGGATATGGTTAGGTCAGATCCCCTGCTTTTGGAACTCGAGGATAGAAACCAAGGCCTCCTTCATTCTCCAGGGCTTTCAGTAAGGATTTTGGGGTTGACACTAGACAAACCTCAGACACAAAACCACGCTGTGAATTCTCTTTGGGTCTCATCCTGCCCTCCTTGCACAGCCCTCACCTGGGAGCATCCCTCTTGGTTATCCAGTTGAAGCAAGTCTTGCGATGGCTGCAGCAGAATTTCACTATTAAGACAACAAAGCTGTGCCCAGTTCCCTAGTTATTTTGGCACCAAATACACAGTTTCCAGGGAAACCGGCTTTTCCCCCCTCCCCTTCACTATGCAGGATATTACAATAAGATCTTCCCTGATGCTCGGCTACAATGAGAACCCTCCTCCCAGCCTCCTCTCTGGGGCTTCAGATCCTCCCAGGTGGCATTCTTCAATTTTGCAGTCCCTTTACTTTCTGAGCTCAGCTTGGGATGCATTTCTCTGTTTGTTCCTCTTTCTCAGCGATAGCTGGGGCTCTTTCTGTGTGGGACTCTTTCACGAGTCTCCCTCCCCAACCCTCTCGGCCTTGGGCTGTTCATTGACAAGTTCTGACCCGTGGGGCATGCAGAGAATGACTGAGTAGGCAGAGGAGCTGATAGCTGGCATGGCTTCTCTTGGGCTTTGCCTAATCCATTTTCCTGTCATTTTCTAGGGAGGTTGGCCCTAGGGCTGGTGCCTGCATCTAGTATAACCCTTGCCCCTTCTTCCATCATTTTTCTTCCCCTAACCAATTGATTGTGCTGCCTTTGCCCCTTCATGACTTAACCAACTTGTTTTCATTCCAACATCCAAACAGATTTCAACTACGAGTACGTGCAGAGAGAAGCTCTCAGGGTTCCTCTGATATTTCGAGAAAAGGATGGACTGGGAATTAAGTAAGTTGCTGAAACTAATTGCTTCTTTCCCTGTCTCCCTCCCTAACACAGTTTATACCTTGGGATGGATTTCCTCCACCCTTTTTCCCACCTCTCATGGCTGAGAAGGGTCTTTCTTCATTATCTGGGGATAGTATCTCCTTGTTCAAGGCACAACAAAGGGGAAAACTCTCCAAAAATTGGTCTTTTTCAGAGAATTTGGGCAGAGAGGACATAAGGTACTTAAACAGTGCTGACTTTTTTCCCTGACCCACCCCAGTTAACGTGCAGTGACTTCCTAAAGAGAATTGTGCTGCTCTCCCCAAATCAGGAAAAAGAGGCTGCAAAGGGATTGGCCAGCCTCTAAACCAAGACTCCCCCATGTGGGAAATTGGTCCTTTTCCGGGGAGGGTGCATTTCCTAGGATGCTAGGCCCATG